CCAGCAGTCGGCACCGTCTGAGTCGCCAGTCAGCCGGCAGCTGCCAGCTGGCACCATAATTTTCGCTAATGGATGCTCCATGAAAGTAAATGATAGATAAAGTTGGCTTGCGTTCTTCAGTACAAATATTTAATCCCTCACTTTGATATTGTTATCGTAGTAGAGGAATAAAGGTATTGACTTATTCCTTTTTGTTCCTTCACTGTAACGAGCTGACTGCACTAAAGGCATCTGATGTGCCCTTTCATGTGCAATTTTATAAGTACATACAAGTAGGGCATCAAAACTCAAAAGGCATTTACGTTCCTTTTCAAACGTCACTCAAATATTGATGATGATATTGACAAATATTGACAAAACTTGATGATAGCGTAATGCCGAAAGCTTGTTTTACTGTTTTAGATATTTACTATAAGAAATATTGAGCGATGTCAAGTTCAATATACTCGTAAATAATACAAATAGCTTCAAAGTTCTGCTTCACTTAGCAAAATATCTTTAGTTTAAGAACTTTCGCGATAAATAAGCAAGGTATCCGTTGCACAACGCCATAATAAGTAAAGGCATCAATAATAAGTTTGTTTTTATACGACGTTTATTGGTTAACTAACAAACATCGGCAGTTTTATTACTCCACACAAGCATCTTTACGCAAAACAGGATAATGTAACAGCATAACAGATGTTCAAATACCTAACTGATATGTTTCTATGCAAATCAAGTGTATCCATACGCGAATGAGTGTTGTGTCGCACTGGTAATAGCGGTACACATCCAGAGCACCATTCGTTTACGTCGACCCATGTAAATTTAGCGAAATTTTGAGCTCACGCTGACGGCGGCGGCGCCATTTTCGCAATCATGTCAGTTGTGCGCCGAGGACCGCGGGGGCCGGCGGGGGAGTGCTGTGGCTGCAGTGCGCAGAGTCGGTTTGCCCATTCTTGTGCGATCAGTGAGATTAAACAGTGCTATGGTGTTTATCTAGTTGGATAATAAGCTGAGTAATGAGTGAATGAGTGAATGATAAGTGAAATACTGCATTGTGGTCATCGTCTGATACTTGCAATCAAGAACGAGTCTGAAATCTGAAGCGGAGCGACATTAGAGGAGCTGCTGGAAATTATCCAGCTTTGTCGGAGTGCTAAGGTGGGCTTACAATTTTTCAACTGAACTGCTGTCGTGTTATGAAAATAATGGATGCATTTTCATGCTTGGGTTGATTAGGCATAGTTATACTAATATTTTGCCAGATAGGCAATAGAGAGCCGATGGCTAATTATATGAACGATAATTTTGGCACAGTGAAGTAGTGCGTACAGATGACATATTTTTCATTTATTAATTACGGGCAGTTGACGGGAGACGGGCGGTGGATGAGGTCTGTGGCGGCGCCCATCGTTTTGAAATATCAGCTTATGTATATGCCCTAGAGAAAAAACCATTAGAAACCATTAGGATTTTCTAATGGTTTCTAATGGTCTTGAATGGTCTCTAATGGTTTTTGATGGTCTCTAATGGTATTCTAATGGTTTCTGATGGTTTTCTTATGGAAATTGATGGAGCTCTAATGGTCTCTAATGGTGTCCTAATGGTTTCTAATGGTCTCCAATGGTGTTTGATGGTTTCTAATGGAATTTGATCTGATGGTCTAATGGTCTAATGGTTTCTGATGGTTTCTAATGGTCTCCAATGGTGTTTGATGGTTTCTAATGGAATTTGATATGATGGTCTAATGGTCTAATGGTCTCTAATGGTATTGTTATGGTTTCTGATGGTCGCTAATGGTTTCAAATGGTATACTTGGTGGTCTAATGGTTTCCTAATGGTTTTCAATAGTTTTGATTTTGGGCTCCAAACGGGTATTCTTATGGTTTCTGTTGGTGTTCTGATGGCATCTTTTCATTACGGAGCGAGCGAAGCGAGCGTAGTCTTTCCTTAGATTAACGGAAATTTCTGAGTATGAGCGGCCGGCCGGCCGGCCGGCCGGCCGGCCGTGGTCACGCTTTTGCGACGCTTATATCTCAGCAACCACTTGACCGATTTACACGCGGTAATTTTTGTAGGGTAGCTTCATTCCTTCTACCAAGTATTGGACTATTCTTGATGCATGTGGGTGACCCCTTATGCACGTGCCACGTGCAAAACGAAGAGGTGTCCGTTTTGTAATTGTTGCAATATCTCGGTAACTACTTGGCCGATTGCGCTGAAAGTTGGCATGTAGGTAGGCACCCACTAGGCACTGCATATCCATGTGCCAGAGTTTGGGTGCTGCTGCACGTGCGCACGTGCAGGGGTCGTTTCCAGATCTTGAGAACGGCTCGACCGATTGCGCTCAAATTTGGTACACAGTTAGGGACCGGTTAGTAGGGTGCCGTGCACAAGTCAGTTGGGACCCATTTTGCACGTGCGCACGTGCAGGGTGCCGCTTCCAGATCTCGAGAACGGCTGGGCCGATTGTGCTCAAATTTGGCACATCGCTAGAGACCGGTTAGTAGGGTGCCGTGCACAAGTCAGTTGGAGGTACCCCCTCGCAATTTCGCACGTGCAAGGCCCACCCTCTCGCTCGCTCCGTTAGTCGCCCCAAAAGGCGTTATACTGGTTTATGATGATTTCAAAATTGTGATGGTGTAATGGTGTTCTAATGGTTTTTAATGGTCCTGTAATGGCTTTTTTATTGATCTTGAATATGCTGTTAAACACTAACTGTGCTTTATTCTGTAAGGAGTGCTGCATCGATAAGGTTATGCTTTTGCTGTAATCTAACTTTTGTTTCCGTCAGATGTGATGTCGATTCTTATAAATAAACGACAAACAAACAAAGAAACGTGTTTGCAGCATGGGGTAGGCATTGAGCATCACAATGTTTCGTTCCATTTAGCTATGGCTCGCGGCTGGCGACAACGTCCCGCCGCCGCGTGTCGCTTGCTTCACAAATTCTGTGGGCTTTACCAGAAAAAATCGTTATGATAACCGTCATATTTGTGTAAATTTACCGCCATGAATTTGTGTACGATTACCACGCGAGTGTTCCTTTTGGTACTTTTTACCAAAAACACATATTTGTGCGTAAATGTAACGCGAGATCCGTGGTAAGGCTACACTGAAAGCGGTTCTCCTACACAATAGTGAAACACTCCGAAGCTAGCAAAACACACATATAAGTGTTCTTTTAGCAAGAAAACAGAGTAATTTTACACCAAAAAAATGTTCCTTTTGGTACTATCAATTACACCGTTTTTCCGCTCAATATTTCTGTGTGTGTATAGGTGCAACGGTCTGGCCTGTAGTCCACGCAAAGCACCACCAAGTCGGGACCTCGACCACAGACAGACGCACCCACCACAAATAGTAAGTTAGATTGATTTTGCCTAAAATAGAAATACTTTGACATGCGTGAGATCATTTCAAGCCTCCACATGTCACTCAAATGACTCATATCAGTCAAATGACTCAGTGGCTCATAAACTCACATAGTGAGTCTTGCCTCTTCATTCTATAAGCAGCGTCCCATTCCCTCATGCTTGATTTGCGGTTTTCTGTAGGGGCTTTCTTCGTTTCTTGCATCGTTTCCTTTACCAATGTAATAATCGATACGAAACTTTCAGAACCCTCCTTCGCAGCGATATTTTACGCCATAAAGGAAGGAACGTGTCGTATTACCTACCTGGGACATTTGGGCTAAAATGTCGTCAGATTGACATCATGCTCGTTCGATTTTGATGCAAAACAGTTGAACGGCAATCACGCATTAGCAAAAGCTTTGATAAGCTTGCATTGATTTTTCTGTATTTGATGTGTCAATAAAAACATAGCTATGCAATATCCATGCAAATGCTAAAAAAACTTTGTAATTATGAAAAATTTGGCGTATTTCTATATTGTTACGGAGCAAGCGAAGCGAGCTGGTCTTTCGTAGATTAACGGAAAATTCTGAGCATGAGCGGCCTAAGTTTGTGTAAGAAAAATCATAAATGTGTGGTGATAGGTGAAGACGGTGAAGTAATGAATATTCTATGTGAATACCGAGCCAAATTATCATACAAGTAAAGTAACCGTACTCTCATAGTTAATATCCAAAATCGTAAGAAAAAGGCCTGATAATTCCGAGGAGCTTTCGGCTTACGCCTTCTTCAACTCGCTCTACTTTATTTTCCTTTTTGGCGCAAACACATTGAAATTCAAATCGATAGCAGCTGCAGTTAGGCACAGGCACTTCTCCAAAGGGTTTCATAACATCACATAGGAGTATTATAAAACATAATTATATAATACATTATCAAATATAATAGATAAAATTACAGAATATTTCCTTACATAGGCTGCAGAGTACAAATACATTCACAATGAAACTAATACTGCCTGATTAAACATTTTCCCAGAACAAGGTAAGCCTGCGTTAAACAAATACATAATTCAGTGACAGTTCTACCTAATTCAATACGAATTTTACCATAACCTGAAGATTTACAAAATTCGTATTGAATTAGGTATTTTTATTTTTTTTTTTAAAGAACTGTCACTGAATTATGTATTTGTTTAACGCAGGCTTACCTTGTTCTGGGAAAATGTTTAATCAGGCAGTATTAGTTTCATTGTGAATGTATTTGTACTCTGCAGCCTATGTAAGGAAATATTCTGTAATTTTATCTATTATATTTGATAATGTATTATATAATTATGTTTTATAATACTCCTATGTAATGTTATGAAACCCTTTGGAGAAGTGCCTGTGCCTAACTGCAGCTGCTATCGATTTGAATTTCAATGTGTTTGCGCCAAAAAGGAAAATAAAGTAGAGCGAGTTGAAGAAGGCGTAAGCCGAAAGCTCCTCGGAATTATCAGGCCTTTTTCTTACGATTTTGGATATTAACTATGAGAGTACGGTTACTTTACTTGATTATATGTTTAAGCATGTCTCTCAAAACAGTGCTAACAGCAATTCAGACTAAAATAATCATGCCTCGCACGTTCTGTGATATTTGAGATACATGAACATCGGCCCCGCAATGTAACCGTTTATTTGAACAAATAAGATGTCCTTTGATAGCACAAACGATAGGTAGCGATCGCAAGTGAACGCGAGCATGCAGCGTTTGTGAAACGAGTGAGGAACATAACAACAATACAGCACTGATTACAACAGATGAGCGAGGAGAGTGTAGGTAGAGCGAGGTAAACACCATTCCAGCGAGACGAACACCATTCCGCTGAAATACTGGCTCACGTGGATGAACGCTTGGCATAAGATGGCAAAGGTTATTAATAGAGGAAAAGACATCCGCAGCCTCCACCCATCTGATCAAATTAAGACACAAGCGTGACACGGACAGCCTGAGGGTTAGCCCTGCTTTTCAATCACAGATTGACACTATAAGAGATTGATTTCTTATAGATTGACACTATCAAAACGCGGTGAGGTCTAATAGAGCAAAACAACTTGAATATTCACATAGCCTGCACAAATGCACATAAAGCCTCTCAGATACCTAGCTAGATTATGTCAAACACATACATTAGCTGTTTCGAAAAGTTCTCCGCCTCGGCACCCTTTTTGAACTCGTCTTTCGCCGTGTTGCGGATGCTGGCGTGGACCTGCTGATCCTGGTTGGCCAGCCGATAGATGCCCCGGAGGAATAGGTACCGCCAGTAGTCGCGCCAGCCCAGCGACCGGTACGCGTCGGCGGTCTCCACCTCCAGCACATCGTGCAGCAGATAGTAGCGCCACACGCTGTAGCGGCACATGGAGAACACCTCCCCGAGGCCGTCGTACAGCGCCAGACTCATGGCCTCCCAGTCGTCCTGCGGCCGCTCCAGCTGCGGCACCAGGTACTGCCGCTCCACCAGCCGCATCAGCGCGCGCACCTGCTCCAGAGAGCCGGCGCACAGGTTGTGCCGCTCGGCCACCCCGAGCCGGTGTCCGATGCTGCGCCACAGGTGCACGAAACTCTCCAGGTCGTCATCGCTCAGATGGCCGAGCCCGAACTTGTCCGGGTGGAGCACGATCAGGCCCACGAAGAACCACTGCGTGGCGGCCATCCCGCGCTGCGAGATCACCGGACCCGGACAGAAACCGCCGCGCTCGGAGGCCCTGACCTCCTCCTCCTCAGCCTCCACTGGGGACTCCTCCGCAGCCTCGCCGCCGCCGCTGCCCTCCTCTGGAGCGGGCGCCAGTCCGCAGGTACGCACCTTGGGCGGTAGCTGGCCCGGGTGGGCGATCCGCGACAGGTCGCGGGCGCTGAGCAGCGAGCCCACGGCCCGGTGCATGCCGCGCACTATGTCGGCGCTGCGGTACGCCGGGTCGCCGGGCTTCCAGATGTCGCCCAGCGCCCAGGTGTGCACGTGCAGGGCCGTCTCCAGGTAGCGGCGCCGGGCGCGCGGCGCTGTGTCCGACCGTCCCGTATACAGCAGCGGCTTGGTGTTCTCAAAGAAGGTGAACGACAGGAAGAGCGACATCACCTGGGCGTTGTTCATCAGCGGCCAGTACTGCAGGTGCAGCTCGCGGGCACGCGCCAGCTTCTTGGCGTCCAGCCAGTCCGGCGGCGTCTCGTTGTTGACGTCTCCGTCCTCAGAGTCGCCGGCGAGGAACCGCGAGAACCTCAGCTCGGCCCACATCTCGGCCTCGGGCGGCGGCGGCGCTCTGCGGGGCTCCCCGGACGAGCACGAGGACAGGATGCAGCGCAGCAGGCCCCAGGCGGTGGCCAGACTGCTGAACGAAGAAGGTGACGTGCTCACCACGTCAGGGACCTCCATTGCGGGAGACAATGGATAGAGCTGTCACAGGGCCGGGACACAATCTGCAGTAAAAGTAACGTCAAGGGCAAATAATCAGAAATGGAATGAAGTCTAAGATGAGGACAATGTCGGGGGTAAATCTGACGGTGTAAATTCACTCGATTGCAGACAGAAACAGCAGCAGCAGCAGTAGCAGCAGCAGCAGCAGCAGCAGACAGCAGTAATGCAGCGGCAGCAAGATCAGCAGACGAAAGCAGTACCAGCAGCAGAGAGCAGCAGACAATAGCAACAGCGGCAGTCAGACAGCGGCAGCAGCAGCAGCAGCAGCAGCCGCAGCGGTGGCGCCGGAAGTCACTGCCACCCCCTGACCGGCGCCGGAACCACTGCCGCCCCCCTCCACCAGCCGGCCGGGTCACTGATCGACTGAGTCCCCCAGCGGTGACGACTGATCCCCGCACTGCAGCGCCGGCCAGACCCGGTCAGAGCCGGCCAGACCGGCCGATTCTACCAGTTTTTGAGCGCCGACTGGTTCCGGAGGGGGCCGGAAACCAGGATATAGTATGTGTGCCGTCATTACTAGCCTAGGCGTGTACTGACCACTACCGTTATGTACCGCTGAATAGCAGCACGGCGGGAATTTGTTATTTACTGAGAGACATAAGAACTATAACTCTGTTGTACCGTAGTTATGCATGTGTACAAGCAAACAATGTATGCCTCATGTGAGGAGAAAAAACACAGAACTAAGCGTTGAGGACTGATGTAAACTCTTTTGAACTGGTCTATGCCAAAAGCCCCTAAACAAATGCACCAGAAAAATTTAGGCACTTAGGTACATCTCTACATAGCCATAGCACAAATGTTTGCAATGTCGCTCGACTTTGAAACCTCTGCGCACTTAACCCTATTCCTGGCGGGCTCCGCCGGGACAAGAAACTGGCGGGGGGGGGGGCCGATTCGGCCCCCCCTGAGATCTCGAGAACGAAGCAAGATAGCGACAAGCGGTAAACGGCATCGGATACGCACGGCCAAGATCTACAATTTTTACTAAGGTCATTTTCAGGTCAGGTCAAAGATGACGTCACAGGGGTCGAAAAAGTCAAAATGGCGGCGCTAGATATAGAGAGAGTTTTTCTCGAATAACTTTCGAATTAGTCAAGATAGGAACAAACTAAGGGCATCATCGTGATCCTCTCGTCAATCCGCATCGAATGATATATATGTTGACCTCGAAAGGTCAAGGTCAAAGGTTGACCTCAGGGATATATATGTTGACCTCGAAAGGTCAAGGTCAAAGGTTGACCTCAGGTCACGTGACCTCGAGGTCATCATGTATATCATTCGATGCGTCTTGACGAGCTGAACACAATGAGACCATCCACGCGTCTGTATCTTGTTCCTGTACGGAGTTATTGGCCAAAAACCTTTGGTGACCTTTGATGACGTCACATGACCTCACAGCTGCCCAACAGCAAAACAGACCTCAAGATAGTGAAGGTTGATCGTATATGAAGTCATGTATGGTATATGGGGCCATTCCGACCCGTTTTAGTGGTAAAAACAGGGAGTTGATTTTTCCCCCATTGACTTATAATGGGGAGGTCGCGAAATTGACCTGACCTTAGGTCACCGATATCAAAATTCCGAGATATACAAATTGCACATACTGGTACCCTAACTAAACCCTGAAGAGAAGAAATTGATCGGTCAAAAACTCTAGCTCTGGCGTGATTGCAAACTTTTCTGAGGTAGGGTCACCAAACCGCCTCTGGTGACCTGACCTGAGGTCAGATCAACTCAAAATTTTCAGACATGTTGCGTAGAAGCCTTTTAGGAAAAGTCAGAAAATTTGAGCTTCCTAGCTCAACGCGTTTGGGAGAAATAACCAAAAAACCTCAGGGGGGGGGCTCCTGAGGCCCCCCCCGCCAGGAATAGGGTTAACACACGTGCTGTGGAGTCGGAGTCGGAGTTGGAGTCGGTCGGAGTCGAAAGTTCTTCCCGGAGTTGGAGTCGGAGTCGGAGCCGCCCAAGTCTTACCGACTCCGACTCCGGAGTCGGAGTTAATGCTGCATGGCTCAACGTCATGCACTGAATCTGTTTGTTTGACGATACTGCGCTCGAAATTAGATTTTGTCGAGTTTTTTTTTGCTGTCTTGAACGAACGTCTTCAGCGAGAGAAGCAGAAGACAGTGAATTCCCCAGAACCTGCTTTTTAATTGTGTATTAGAAGCCTTGGAATGCACTAGGTATCGTTTCAGGCAAGGTAAAAACATCTCCGTTATGAACTTCAATACCTATCTTGATATGTATTTTTCAATAGAACCGTCCGGAGTCGGAAACGATTTTTGAAGCCGATATCGGAGTCGGAGTCGGAGTCACCCTAACATCCATCGAATCCGCAGCCCTGCTTAGCACTGCACCAATATGTTTATTTAGTACTCTGCCAGCTGGAAGCTAAGCGTTTCCACTTGGCTATAGCACGAAACTTGCCTGTTGTTACCACGCTGAACGTTAACCCGCGCCCCGTTGGGCTCTGCCGAGCAACGCGCCCCGTTGGGGGGGGGGCCATTTTGGCCCCCCCTAAGATCTCGAGAACCACGCAACGTAGCGACAAGCGGCAAACGGTGTTGGATAGCCCTATCAGGGAACTACCTTGTGACCCAATTTTATTGACCTAGGTCAAACCGATGACGTCACAGGTCAGGTCAAAGGTCCAATTTTCACCGTTTACAGGCATTTCAAGAAATGCGTTGTAAAATCGAGTAAAATGCATTTCATTGAAAATCATCGATGGGGAAATGTTCTTCAAACACATATTTTGCTAGTTGAGGTCACTGATACCAGGTCAGGTCACTGAGGTCAGGTCACTGGGGGGTCACAATATGAAAGTGTCGTGTGATACATGTTTTATGGTCCATTTTACATGACAAATGCGATTATGTGGGTCAGGCAGCCTTTGGGGCCAGCTTAGGTCACGTTTTGGTCAAGGTCAGGTCAAGGTCAGGTCAAGGTCAGGTCAAATAAGGTCAAATTTCAAAGTTGATATTTTTGCATAAAATGGGTATCGAATCGATGCAGCTCGTCACGGGGAGTTCAATGGTGGTCTTTGTTTTGCCGTACGAGGTCTAGAATCGCTAAAAATTGAGTTCAAAAATTTGACGTCATCATTTTTGAACAGTTTTTTCGCTATAACTTGGCCAAAAACGAGATATCGATCTGAAATTTGGTATGTATATAGAAGAGCGCAGGGACTATCACATATATTCCGGTTTTTTCAAATTCGGAAAAAATTTGGATTTTTTTTAGTTTTTCTAAAAAAATCAATTTTTTGAAATTTTTTGGGTCAAAAACCCAAAATTTTGAAAATCCGAGATAGCAGTTTTGTAGCGCCGCTTTTTGTCTATTAGACCATATAAAGAACTTTGAAATTGCTTGATAACTGTAGATTTGGTGAGCGTTTCAAGATTGCATGTTTTTTGCTCATTTTTGCTCGAACATGAACTCAGTTTGACCTCAATAACTCCTGACCTAAGGTGACCTAAGACTTGAAATTTGGTGTGAAGGTGTCAAATTGATGCCCGGAAAGGTACTGAAAATTTGGCGGCGCTGCGCGCCGCCGTTTTCTTGCTATTCAGGAAAAACCACAGGGGGGGGCCAAAATGGCCCCCCCCCAACGGGGCGAGGGTTAAGTTAGTCCATGTTGGGCTCAATCCTAACTGAAAATAATCGCGCACTATTTACAGGTAGGTAAATGTCGCCGCATGTAAACGTTCGTACATGAAGTTACGAAAAAAATTCCTAGTGACTGACAGCTTCGAGTTCAAGCTGATTTTGGGTTGGTTTAGATAGACATACATTTACGACATGCAGTGAACTGAGAGCTGAAAGTACATATGTATATTACATATGTATATGTATAATAGTATATAATTATACATAGGGGAGACCCGGGAGGTATGGGCCGGTTTTGTGAAAAGGCAATTTTCTTCCAGTGGGCAGTGGCTAGACCCGATTTTTCACTCTGTGTACGTGAAATTGCCTTTCGCCTGCAAAGTGTGCCTGATATTAGGCATCTGGGACCAACTATTTTGTCTCGAGATAACTTTCAATGAATCATGTGCTTTTTCGATCCTTCAAAATACACCGGGAGGTATGGGCCATGGCCCGGGAGGTATGGGCCGGTGCCATGTTTCATATTCTTTTCTTGACAATGGGAACAATGCTCGTAGCTGGTATCTACCTTGATCTCTCTTGTAGCCCAGGAACCGCAAAAGCAGCCAACAGCTTACTTCATGGAGGTCACTTGGGCACACATGTATTTTGGTAAATTCAATCATGCTCCACGAAATAAGATGACCGCGGCGCAAAATAAGCGGCGCAAGCATGACCGCGTGAGTGACGCACTCAGAACTCTCACCTGGCTCCCGGCTCGTGAACTGGTCACTTACCACACTCGTGCCTACTCAAGCGCATGTTGGTGACCGGCGCTCCTCAGGATATCGCCGAGCAGCTCTCCACAGTAGGAGAGGGGAGAGAGCGCAACACACGGCAGGACGCAGACCTCGCTCTTCCACGGATAAGATCCGAGTCCGGCCGAAGGAGATTTTTGTACCGTGCTGTGTCGGCTTTCAATGCCCTGCCTCTCGCTGTCAGGGAGCAACCACCGGGCGCTTTTAAAAGGAATGTGAAACGGCGTCTGGGCCAATTTTAGAAAGTATGCGTGCTTGTGGGCTATGTATTTTTTTAGGTGTGCTTGATTGCGTCACCATCCCCTTGTATTTACTTTTTCACCTCCTATGACACGAACTCAAGAATAGCCATGTTGTATGGATGGGTTCTTAAGTGTTCAATAAACAATCAATAAACAATAGATAAATAATATTTTTCTGTTCGAATGAAATTTGTAGTTAAATTTTACACCTTGCGCGACAAAAGTGAAACTTATTGAAGAGGACATTCATTGAACACATATTTTTATTGATTTAGGATCAACTGGGTTGTGGCCCGAACCTCCCGGTTAGGACGCCAGAATGTGCGTATCATCTCAGCTTGCATAATCTTGCAAAAAAGCTTCAAATTGTCTACCCATTCTTAATTTGCATGCTTTTAACTTAATGCTAGCGATGGTCTGACATCATAAAACGAGCCTGGTTCAAATTTATCACGAATTTTCTGTATGAACCGTATTTTACTCGAAGAGGGCAAAAACACTTTATCATCGCTCATTGCCAAAGAAGACAGGAATATTTTGCAAATCACCGTGGGTTGTATAACGGAATGACTGCTACCAGTTTACGCGGTCAAATGTGTAAAAATACGCAACACTTCTTCAAAACTGCGATGGCCCATACCTCCAGGGGGCCCATACCTCCCGGGTCTCCCCTACCTATATGTATATAATATAATATATGTACCATGTTGATTTATCAA